TACATTGATAGCTTGTGCAAAATCTAGAATGAAATATTTTACGTTTGAGAAAATATTTCATTATATTTTTGCACAGTCTGCTCCTCGTGAGGGATGGCTGGGTGCACACAATCATCCCTCAAGATAGAGGATCGCACATTACTTATATTACTAATGTTATGATTTTCTCAAGTGTTATAGTTGACAAATATATCCAATTCATCACATATGCACTTTTTTCTCCGGATCAAAAAATTCGCATTGAAATTTACATAGACGGCCATCAAGTGTAAAGTGAGATCTGAAATATTTCAAAGCAAGCTTGCTTTACTCTTTACTTGTATCATACAGGTAGTTGCGATTGCAGGGCAAAATTACATTTGAGAAGCTTATATATGTCAAAGTTTAGTTTAAACCTTTGAGGTGTTTGGGTAATAATCATATTACCATTTTTTATATATTTTATCATTAGAGAGAACTATATTCGAGTTTTGATGGATGCTTTCAGTAATTGGGTTGTCGCTTTATTCATGACTTCATATCCCCCTAGATAAAGTTAAAATTAGTCTCAGTTTAATTGTGTTAAGACTCTAGTAAACGTCTTAATTGGCTTCAGTACCACTTTCTGTAGAAATTACTTGGGCAAATTCTTGTATTCATCTTGTGTACCAGTATAGTATATATAGAGAAAATTAAGTTTGTAGTCACGAGAGAAAGTTTATTCAGCTGCACCACGCTGTCTAAAACGGGACGATATTCTTGAACTGTAAGGAGCTGTGCCAATAAAAAAAAACTGAAGTTATCATGTTATAAAGACTGAAGTATCCGGGCGTGGGCACTTTCCCGGCATTCCCCACGAAGGGTTTAGACGGTTTTTCCCCACGGCCCGCAGGCATCGGGTACCAACTTCCAGCCACAAGACCAGCATTATCGGACTGTATGCGTTCTGATGTTAGATAAAGACAGGAATGGAAATCTTTAAACTTTCAATAATACAAAATTTATTGATTCATAATGATTACTGAAGTACTTATAGAATTGAATGTTACTGTATATAATAGTTGAATAAAATTATATTCTCTAATTTTTCTTTTTGTTAAAAGAAGGAAGGCTTGTACAGATGGCAAAATAATCGCCAGATTTGCAAATTGATTTTAATGGATGTGCACGCGGCTCGTTTAATTATCAGTCGAAATTATCTTCTATTCAATCGCACCTTATCTCACTTAAATTTAATTCATGTTTTGGCTATTTCTTGTCACTCCAGTTTCTTCCATAAAACCAGGCAAAGTCCAGGTAATAAATTTATTTATTTATTTATTTATTTTTGGTTCTGGAAATAAAACCGGTGTTGCGAATTTTTTTTCTCCGGGAATAACTCGAGCCGATCCCTAGCTTTTTCCTGAGTCGGATTAGAGCCCCTAGAATTAACTATCTTATATAAATAAATCCCGCTGTAGATATAAGAACTCAACGCCTTTTTATTTTAGTGAAGGTATATATTTTATATAGGAGCGGATCCAGGATTTCCTAGAGGAGAGGTTCGTTTTTATTGATCCCCTCACCTCACGAAAAAACGCTTTAAATTCATTGTATTGAAGGAACGATTCGAATCAAGCATTAAACAAATTAATTAAAGATTAATATATTAACGATAAGCTCTAAATTTTTGTCGCACACTCGATTGACAGACCAACCCTGAGATGATCTCGCGTCACAATCAGGTATGGCTGTGTTAAAAAGAACATTTTAATTAGCATTCAAATATGCAAGACAGTCGAAGGGAAAGATCGAAAGTAGGTCGATGGCACTGAAAGTCACAGGGCCCAATTTCGGCATATTTTACTCATCCTCAGTAGAGAATTACTGTTTAAATATAAAATTCTGCATACTTCGAGACGACTTATTACCGTTTACATCCACACATAGGCAGCAAGTTGGGACATAGGACGCCACTCGCTCTTTACCCATCTTGTAAACTTAAATTTCGATCGTTTATTACATTTATTTCAAATAAATGCACCTGCAGATTATAAAATTCATCTGTGTGAAATCCACCAAGCACTTTCCCAATTCCGTGTCAAAAAGATTTCAGTTCGCCTAACCAACTTAAAAAAAGGAATATTTGAAGGTGGAGTCCGCGGATGCGAAGCCGACGCCCCCCCCCCTTTTTGGCGTTGATAAAATGTTGGTTTTTGGTATTTTTAGAGGGCAAACAGTTCCATTTGGTACGGTTTAGAACTATGATTCAGCTAGTCAAATTTCTAATTTCAAGAGTGGAGGGCGGACTTTCTGTTACACGATCCCTCAGTTTTGTTACACCAGGTTAAAGGGATAATAACTCTTCGTATGAGGTCTATATTTCACAATAAAAACATTGTGAATAACTCATAGAAATATAATATGTTCTGTTTAATGACAAAAACAGCAGTTATAGCTATTATTCTGATATCTGAGCTTGTCTTCAGACCACGTGACCTCCATTGATGGCTATACTCTGTTAAAATCTCTTAAGAGATTTTAACAAAAAAACAAACTTTTTAGGAAAAAACCAGGGAATAACTTTGAGTGTAAAAATGGATTCATTAACTATTGGTAAGTACGGGAAAATTGTTGTTTACTCCAGGAAAATTAATTTTTTTGGCCAAAACGAAGAGTTATTATCCCTTTAATTTAAGGAAAAACATCTACTGGCCATGACGGACCACTAAATTCACACATATTGAAAAATACACCAAATTTTACGAAATTTTACTGGCCTCGGGCGTCGGACTAGTGGCTATGCGCCTTACGTG